TCTTCACACCCAGTGCTCAGTGCTCTCCCCCAGGCTCCCAGAAGACCTAAGCCAATTCCAGAGAGGAAGGTTTGGGGCCCTACCATTTTTCTTGGAGATTTTCTTTGAGAAATGGTTGAGTTTTCGGGCTGGAGGTGTGACGTGTGCGTATATACACACCACGTGAGCATATTATGTGTACTATTGTGCCGTTTCCCTCTGAGTAAGTGGAAGTGTGGGAGTGGCTTTGAGTGCATGTTAAGGGATGAGCCTCAGTCTTCTTCCCTAAGGTGGGCCAGCGCTTCCTCCCTGAGGGCCACTGGATGAAGGGACGTAGATGTCTGCCTCTTCCGGAGGAAGCCGCCTCGGGCAGCTGCCTGCTTGTTGAAGCCCTCGACCTAAGCTGTGGAGTGACTGGTGGCCGCCACGGCTCTGGAGGACCCCGGCATGGTGGCTGGTTCCTGCAGGTGAGCTTGTCTCCTGGGACTCAGCTGAGTTGACCCACTGCGGAGTTATAGTGGCTGCGGTGACCGTGTGTCAACTAAGTGTCATGCACATTGGTACCAGTTTCACGTGAATGAGAATGGGTTCAATTCCCTAAAATAATACTGTCCGGGAGCAGCCAATGACCGGGAGAGACAACAGGGACATCCGGGAAGTCTCACGGCCTCTGCTCTCAGGCGGCAGTGTCCCCGAGTCCCCTTGGGAGGAACTGAGGGTGACACCTGGTGCTCTGGCCTAGTGTGGCAGTCCTGGCAGCACCAGCACTGGGCAGGGCCTTCCCATGGGCCCAGCTGGCATGAGCGGTTATGCCCCGCTAAATGGTCAGATCACTGTCACCACTGGTGTTTGGTCAGCCAGCCTGACCCCCCCAAATGACACGTCTGTGTCCTCATCCCCAGGAGCTGAGAATGTGGTCTTGTTTGGCAAAAGGGCCTTTGCAAAAGTCCAGAGGCAGAAACCCGGGCGTGGGGAGGCCGTGTTCCGGGGGCCTTCCTGCTGCCTCAGCGACCCTTGGCTTGGGGCCACGTCTCCCAGCCTCCACCTGCATCGGCACTGCCCTCTGTCTTCCTCGTCCCTCTCAGGACACTGTCATTGGATCTGGAGCCCAGCCCAGTATCCAGGACCGTCTCAGCTCCGGGACTTGACCTTTGATCATGTGCATGAAGACCATGTTTCCAAGTCAGGTCCCACTTAGATTCCAGGTGACGCCTCCTTTCGGGGCTCAGCCACCACAGCAGCAGAACCAAGCTGTAACGCAGTGCAGGGTGGGGCCATTTCTGTGAGTTAAGGTGTGTGTGGGTGGACACACACAGGCCTGCCTGCTGGTTTCAGGGGCTGGGTGACTCCGCTGGCCCGGGCCCTGGGCTGGGAGGGGCTCAGGCTCAGCTTTCCCTGATACACGTATGCAGCCTGCGGGTTCAAGTGACCAGGCACTGGCTTTATTATTGAAAAGGAGGCCTGGGAGGGAAGGAAGCCGCCAGCCCCTCCGGTACCCCCACATGTCCGGGAAGGTTCTGTGGGACCGAGGGTGCAGGTCCTGGGCTGGCGCCCAGCATTGTGCCAGGACAAGGGCTGCCTCTAGCCTCCCAGGCCCTGACCCTGACTGAGACCCAGCCTGATGCGGGGCTGCTGGGAGAAAGGCACAGACGGGGAAGTTGGTCTGAAAAGCTGAGCATCCTGGTGACTCTGGTGTCTCATGAGACCCTGGGCACACTCGTGCGTCTTTCCCAGGACGCAGTGTCCACTCACTGTGCTCACTGGGCACGTGCTGGCTGTGCTGCTCTCGCTATAAAGGTAAGTCCTTTGCTAGGGACTGAATCTTGTCCCCCAGATTTACATATCGTATCCCTAACTCCCAACAGGATGGCCTCTGGAGGTGACGTTTTAGAGGAGGCCATGAGGAGGGTCCTTCAGGAAGAGCTCAGTGCCCTCATGAGAGACACAGGCCAGGCACCATGGTGTACCCCTATGGTCCCAGACACTTTGGTGGCTGAGGCAGGAGCCTTGCAAGTTCAAGGCCAGCCTGGGCAACTTGGGGAGACCTTATCTCAAAATAAAAAAGTGGAGCTGGGCACCATGGCTCATGCCTGTAATCCCAGCGGCTCAGGAGGCTGAGGCGGGAGGATCCGTGACTTCAAAGGCAGCCTCAGCGATGGTGAGGCGCTAAGCAGTGAGACAGGGTCTAAATAAAAATACAAATAGGGCTGGGGATGTGGCTCCGTGATTGAGCCCCCCTGAGTTTAATCCCTCGTACCCCGCCCAAAAAAAGTGGGAAGAAGCTGGGTTATAGCTCAGTGGTGAAGCCCCCCCCAGGTTCAATCTCCAGTACCTAATAGTAATAGTTGTTGTTCCCCATTAAGTAAAATGTAAGAAGACCATTGTTTTGGACCAGACTCCTGCACGGGGTGGAGAGTGGGGCAACAGACCTGACTAAAGTGACCCAGGCCAAAGCTCCACCACCCAGCGGGAAACTAAGCCATTTATCTGCCCTCTGAGGAAATGGAGATTAGAGACAATACTAACTTTCGGGGCTGGGGATGTGGCTCAAGTGGTAGCGCGCTCGCCTGGCATGCGTGCGGCCCGGGTTCGATCCTCAGCACCACATACCAACAAAGATGTTGTGTCCGCCGAGAACTAAAAAATAAATATTAAAAAAAAATTCTCTCTCTCTCTCTCTCTCTCTCACTCTCTCTTTAAAAAAAAAAAATACCAACTTTCCCCGGCACGGCACGCTGTTTCCACTAATCTGTTATTTTTCTGCTCTGCTTCCTTTATAGTCTTTTCCACCTGCACATCAACCTCTTCCCTCAGCTCACGGAACACTGACTTAGGATCGCTAAGACGGCAGGAAGACCCTCCAGCTCTGCTGGAGCCCTGTCTGTTTTTTCAGGTGCTGGGGACTGAACCCAGGACCTTGCACATGCTAGGGCAGCATCTGCCACCAAGCTGCCTCCTCAACCCCGCATCCAGGGAGAAGATAGGTCTCCAGAAGAGGGTCCCAGGAATTCCTGGAGAGGGGAGAGTGGACTTAGGACCAGTGGGGTCCTTGGCTTGAGAATTCCAGCTCTGCCACTTAGAGACTGTCAGGCTTGATATAGGCTCTCGGGGGAGAAGGTGGGCTTTGGGGGCTCCCAGCTCCTCTTGTAAAGGAGAGTTGCTGAGGGTGAGCATGGGAAAGTGTGTGGGGTGACGTCAGTCTCAGGAGCCTTGGCTGACCTGGCCTTACTATCAGGTCAATAGAAAACGCTGGGAAGTCCCCTACCTTACAGGTTTCTTACAATATCACATAGCTCTACTTAATCTCCTCATTGGGGGGCTAGTGAACAGTACACAGCAACTATTGTTTTTGATTTTTTTTTTTTTTGTAGTTGTAAATACTCAGAATGCCTCTGTTTCTTTTTATGTGGTGCTGGGGATCAACCTTAGTGCCTCACACGTGCTAGGCAAGCGCTCTGCCGTTCAGCCCCAGCCCCAGCCCCACAGCAACCATCTTCATTGAGCGAACTTACTGGTAACTGAGATTCACAGATAACCCAGAAATTTGGGAGTGACAGCCTAGAAAGGTATGCGGAACTTCTGGACCGAGGCTGTTTCCTTGGCCTGCCCCTAACCCCCTGTCCACCCTTCCTTCTACTTCTGCCCTCTCTCACTCCTGCAGATCCTGGTGGTGAGGGAAGGGGGGGTGGAGGGGCTGCAGGGAGAGGGGAGGGGCCTCGAGCAGCCCTGCTGTCCTCCCCTCTCTCCAGCAGACACGGGAGGCACACTGTAGAGTCAGCCTGTGTCCATCTGCTGATGAGTGCTGGACAGAGTGCTATGGTCTCTCCATCTAGGCGAATGCTCCTTGGCCCTGGAGAGAAGGGCAGCACCATCATTCTCCATGGAACAAGCCCGTCCCAGACCATGTGCCGGGCCCTTTCGGGCATACAAAGTGTTCAGAAGGGCGTGGTTTCCTGGTTCCCCGTGCTGTGGAGAGGACTTTCAGCAGGGGTGGGCTGATATGCCTGGCGGCATGGCACCCTCCCTGGCTTGCAGGCACACCCACTGTCCCCAGTGTCCTGGGTAGTGTCTGAGGGGGGCCATGGATGTGGCAGCGCCTTGCTCACTGTGGTGAGGAGTCACCTTTATCAAACTCAGTGGCCAGGCATGGGCTCCTGTGAGCCGGGAGGCCTGGCTGGGGTACCTGGGGAAGGCTCATACCAGGTGTAGGGGGCTGCACAACCTGTCAGACCATGTGGGCGGCTGGTCTAGCACTGAAGGGGTGTGGCATCTGGCGGTCACACTGCTGGATAGCCCTATCTTCTAGGGTATAAGCGACTGTGTCTTTGTGCAGGGGCGTGTCTCTCCACATCCCCAGGGATCCAGTTACCTCATCTGTCCTTGTAACCCTGCCCACCTTGACCTTCATTGGACGGGATTTCCTAAGAATTTAGATTCCCCTAATAAAAGCTCACTCCAAAGCATGCTTGCTCCCTCTCACCGGCCTCTTGTGTAGTTCCTCGCTCTCCCATTTGGAGAGCTTGAGGCCGAGGGCAGAGGAGTTGTCCCGGAGCTTGGTTTAAAGGTGAATTGTGTGTCTGCCTTGATAATTTTCCTGAGTGACCGTAAGTTAGCCTTCTGTGCTAGATGCAGACGGCAGGACCACACCTGTGCCTAGCAAGGTTGGAGCTGGCTTGATCCAGGGTCCCTGAATGAAGGTTGGCTGTGCCTGGCCCACAGGTCTGCTAGGCCCAGCATCTCTGTAAAGGGCTCTCAGAAATGTTTTCATTTCCCCCTCTCTGCAGTGCTGGGGATGGAACCCAGGATCTTGTTCATACCTGTCAAGCAAATGCTCTGCCACTGAGCTGTGCCTCCAGCACCACCAAATCTGAAAAGAAGCCTGGCACAGTGGCTCACGCCTGTAATCCCAGAGGCTCAGGAGGCTGAGGCAGGGGGATTGAGAGTTCAAAGCCAGCCTCAGCAAAAAAGTGAGGCGCTAGATAAAGTACAAAATAGGGCTGCAATGGGGCTCCATAGTTGAGTGCCCCTGAGTTCAAACTCTGATACACCCTCCCCCCAGAAAGACGATAGATGATAGATAGTATAAAAAAATCTGAAAAGACACAAACTTAGGGTTGGAAATTGGATTCATCTTTCTGAGTGAGATAGTGAACACCCCAAATCCAAGCTTCATGCAGGAGGATTGCAAGTTTGAGGCCAGCCTCAGCAATTTAGTGAGGCCCTAAGCAACTTAGCAAGACCCCGTCATAAAATGAAAGCTAGAAAGGGCTGGAGAAGTGGCTCAGTGCTAGAGTGCTTGCTAGCCTTCGTGAGCCTCAAGAAATAACGGTGTGTGACGTTCAGTATGTTATTATGGCACAAGGAGCCAGTGAAGGCCAAGTGTGGCACTGTACCTCTATGTGGTGCCACAGAGCTGCCCAAAAGCTGGTGTTGGAGTGGGCACTGGGAAAGCTGGATAAAAAAATGCTAATGCAGGCCCAGGGCGGAGGGAGGGCAGCTAGGGACTGGGATGGAGGTCCTTCAGAGCAGTCTCTCTGGTGGCTGAGGGCATCCGTGGCTCTGGGCAGCTTCTGGGCTGGTCCTCAGAGGCAGCTTCCTCTGCCCTGCTGAGTGTGGACTCAGGGACCAGCACAGCCGGTGGCCAACCCCTGAGCAGCATGGCAGCTGCAGGGTGGGCACCTGAGCCCGGCTGTCTAGCAGCCTGCGGTGCACCCTGACGGCAGAAGGCAGAGGAGCTGCTCCTGTAGCACTCCCACCCCAACCCAGCACACCCAGACCCTTGGAGGCACCCAGGCAGCTTCCTTCCCTAGGCAGAGCCGCGGAGTGCTGCGGCTTCACCTTAGGCTGGCTTCAGGCTGGCCACCAGGGTGGGTACTAGTGAGAGCCAGGCCCCACCTGAAGTCCTTGGGGGCCACTGAGCTGGGGACAGGCTGCTGCTTGGCATGCCCCAGGTTCCCAGGGCTGGCCAGAGGATCCTGGAGACCGCAGGAAGGCTGTGACCCTCACGGCGCATGCAGCTCTTGGCCTGCCCACTAGGGGGCAGTGCTGCCCAGCCCTTCCCAGAGGCGGTGGCAGATCCAGGGGAGGGGTCAGGGAAGAGGACGACAAAACACTGGACACCTGGTGAGATTTGAATTTCAAGTAAAGAATAACTTAAAATAGGACGATAGGCCCCCAAATTTCCCGGGACATGTTTATCTGAAACTCCAGTCCACCCTGAACCCTGCTTTCATCTCTGAAGCCTGGAGGCCCCACCTGGGACCACAGAGGTCACGTGGGGTGGGGGGAGGCTGCTCCCCAGGACCAGTGGGCTGGAACTACAGTGCTTAGCTCTAGGTGGGTCACCAGGAGGCCACACCTTCCCTAAGTGTGACTCAGTGACTCTGGCACATATTTGGGTGGGGTGGGGCAGGCAGGGTGATGGCACAGCTCCTGGACCTTGCCTGTCACGTCTCAGCAGAGGTAGCAGGGCTGGGCCCACTGCCCTCAGGACTCCTAGGTTGAGGCCTTGGTGTTGTGAGGGGTGTGGTGAGGATCAAAGGCCAGAGAAGTGAGCCTGCTCGCTCCGAAAGGAAAGGACACTGCACTCAGAGTTAGTGTTGACTCCTCTGGATTTGTGCAGTGCATGACCTGCACAGCTGACCTGGGTGGTCCTGTTCAGCTTCTCTGCTTCCCTCTTCACCTCCTCTGCCTGCCAGGCTTCCACAGCTGCATGGCTGTGTGCTCCTGCTGGGGACTCCTCGGTTACACTTAAGTCACCAATCCACCTGGAATTTAACTGGGTTTATGATGTGACGTGAGCTGAGTCACTTTTCCACTCTTCCAGGACCTCCATGTAAAACCCACTTTTACATTTGTGTGCTGGTGAACACAGTGGGTGGAGCAAGGACCCAGACAGCTCGGGACCCTGGGACAGGTCTCTGTGGGACAGAAGGGAGCCACTGAAACCACGCTTGTCACTGCGCCCTCTTCAGGACCATTGTGTTATTGCACCAGGATTTCCATCAGGCCAAGACAGCCCTCCACTCTGTCCAGGGGCAGGCCGGCGGCTGTCCACGAAGCCTGTGTCCCTTGGCCATCATTGTGGGCACCAGGCTCAGTGCAGCAGTCCCATGCTCCCTTCCCCAAGATCCCAGCCACTGCCCCCTCTGGAGCATGCTGCCTGCCTCTGATTCAGGGCCACCACTGGGCCCTACCCCAAGGACACAGCTTGCCCTTGACCCACACAGGCAGCAAAGCCCAGAGCCTAGGCCTGGCTGGCTGGCAGGAGGATGGGGAAGTGAGGGCTATCCAGTCTCTGCTGGACTCCTTGGAAGGCCTGTGGGGGGGGCCTGGGTTCTCCTAGGGTAGCTCTGGGACTGAGTGGTCAGGGGCCTGGTGGGTCCGTAGCGACTCTCTGAGGAAGAGACTGAAGCAGCGCTGGGCTCCTCTGACCCAGGACATGGCAGCCTCCATTGGGAGACTTGACAGAGGAGGGGACAGTGGCCTGCAGAGCAGAAGAGCCTGCCCAAGGTTGCTGGGCAGCAGTGGCAGTTGGGGCCCAGGCTGCCTGCTGAGAGCTTGTGGCCAGTCCTCTATCTCATCTCGCCATAGTGGCCTTGTGAAGGGGAAACAGCTCCTGAAGATGGGGTGAGCCCCAGGCTGGGCCTGCCAGGCTGTGAGTTCAGGCCAGCGCCACCCAAGGCTCTTGCTGGCCACAGTGTGGAGAGGGCCCTGGAGTGCGGACACTAGCCAATGAAGGACCTGTTGGGTGGTATGGGTGTGCAGAACTGCTGCAGACCGGGGCCCTCCCCCTCCCTGTCACAGCCTGCAGAAGGGACCTTGGGTGGTAGGAACTGAGGCCTCCAGAGCCAGGCAGGGTGGGTGCGGGCCATGGTGCGGGGCTCGCCAGGCAACAAGAGGCTGGCCCGGGTGAGCACTGAGCTTGGCCCCCCTGAGCCGGGGCAGGCAGTCCCTCCCCTGTGAGGAAGCCAGGGGTGAGGTGGCATGTTCTGAGGCCCCCATCCTCCTGCTCAGTTGGCCCGGAGAGCAGCCAATGCAGCTGACTGCCCAGGGATGCCAGCTGGGCCAGGGGTCAGGTGGCCCAAGGCCTGGAAAGGCTCTTCCCAGGGCCTGGAGACTCTCACCACCACCCAGCTCACACAGTGGGGCCACACAAGCTGCATGCCATGTGATCATCACAGTGCCCCAAGGCCATATCACTGTCCCCATGCACAGATGGAGTCAGAGGTCCAGAGGAACCAGCCCGAGGTTCACCGGGGGCACATGGCAGCTCTGGGATGACCCTGGGCTCTTCACCTCTGCACTGAGCATAAGCAGGTCACACAGGCTGGGAGCCCTGGGGTGTCCCCTCACCCTTCCTGGGGAGGGGGTTGCTGGGTGAGCCGCCCATCAAGGGAAGTAGGTGGCAGGAGCACAAAACCATCTGCTCTGACACTTCTGCCAGCGAGCTCCCTCTTGCTACCCAAGGATGCCATAGGTGGGTGTGGCCAAAGGGATGCTGCTCTTCTGTAGAAAAGGCCCTTGTCCTAAAGCCCCACCGCCCAGGGCTCTGGCTCTTGGTCTTCTCTGGGTCCTCCCCCTCCTGTCTAATGGGGGCTGTCCACCCCTCCGCTGTTCTCGGCCCACCGTGGGCTTGTACACTGGCAGGCATGGCTGGCCCCTAGCAGCATGGCCTCCAGGCCTCCACGGGAGCTTGCTCATGGCACTGCTGCTGCCGTGGCCCAGGAAACTGGCCTGTGTGCCTCGCCTCATCTATTTTTAAGCACAGGCGCATGAAAGATTCACAGGCTGCTTTATTTACAGGTGGCAAGTATAGTGTCCGTCCCCTGAGGTTCATCCACCGAGAGGCCTGAGGGGCGCAGGCCCCAGAGCCCACCTGAGTCTGGGCACTGAGCTTTGCTCTCCTCCACAGGAGCCTGGCCTCCTGGAGCTGCCCACCCTCTGGCCCTGGCCCTGGGAGGGGCTGAGGAGCCCTCCCCTCCCAGGAGTGCATCCCGAGAACACCTCTTGGGCAGGTCTGGAGGAGGGGCAGGGTCACAAGGTTCTGCCTCAGAGAGCCCAGGGCAGCTGCTTCCTCTGAAGCACATGGGTGAGGTGAGTATCCCCGTCTCACAGACACGATCAGGCGTCACTCAGGCGTGGGGTAGCCCAGAGCCTAAAGCCAGGTGGACCAGACTTCAAAGCCCACACCCACACCTTTCCCTCCTGGCTATGGCTGCAGCTGGGTCAACAGCCACCTTACCTCTGCTTCCCAGGAGGGGAGAGCCACACATCCTTCCAGACCCCCACCCAACTCAGAAGAAGACAGAGGCCTAGCACCACCTGGTCCTGGTGGAGCAAGCCACAGCAGGGCCCAGGGGCAGGGGTGGGTGCCAGCACACCCTATGCCTGGCTTTCCTCCCCTCTTGACCTCCCCTACTGGGTGTGGGTCCTGTGGGCCTCAGGATGTCCCAGCTCAGCCTTGCTGGGTCACCTGTGTCACCTGCTGTCTGGCCAGGTCTCAGCAAGTGCTTAGGAGGGCTCTTGGCTGCCCTTGCACTTGGGAGAGCCACCTGGCACAGGTCCAT